CCCCCCAGTTATCATTAAAGTTTGCAGAGCCACAGTGAGATTGGCTATATTCAGGACCCTATTTTTGGCTTAAAAACTAAAGCAAACCGAACAAGTAACATTTTTGTTTTTTAAAAAATGCATTTAAAAAAAGTTCTTGAACCCTCTGATCGGAACTAATTGGCATGGCTACTTGGAAATAGTGAAAAATGCAAGGTTAAAAGAAGTATGTTGAAATCAGTAGTCTCATTTAAATAGATGTGGCTAGCAACCATTGTGTTTGCATCTGTCCAAAGCCACTTTCTTCCTTGGGATCCTTCACCAGCTCCAACTGTGTAGTTCAGCAGGGGCTGCTCTGTGGTCTTGTGACTGAAGTTTATCCAATCACAGTAACCACATGCATTGACACACCGATTGGTTTAGAGGTTGGTGTGTTACCTGAATCTGGCTGATTAAGAGTCATACACGGGATGTTTACATTTTGGGATCTTGAGAAAAACGGATTTTTGGATTTTGCATTTTGGAGTTGGGAAAAAGCAAATTGGAGGCAGGCAGCAGTCAACCAAATAAAGCCAATCTGAGATAAGAGGAAATGGGCGTCTGAGAGGAAGATTTTAATTGATTCATGTTCCATTTCTGATGGAATCCACAGCTGCTATTTTCTTTTCAGTATCCTTTCAACATAGCTCTCTTTATTTCCCTTACAGTTTAGTTTAAGTCGAAAAAGTCCGGTCTAGTGAAATTGTTGTTGTTAGTTGCTGTCGAGATGATTCCAACTCATGGCAACCCCATGTATGCAGAATAAACCTGCTCCATAGGGTTTTCAAGGCTGTGACCTTTCAGAAACAGATCCCTAGGTGTGTCTTCCGAGCTGCCTCTGGGTGAGTTTGAACTGCCAACCTTTCAGCTAGTAGTTGAGTGCTTAACCATTTGCACCACTCAGAGAGACAACAGGAATTCTTAATCAACATGGTATTTGCACGTAAGTGTGTTACTTTTAGCGTACTAGATATATCCTAAGGAGTCCTGGTGGAGCAATAGTTAAGCACTTGGCTGCTAATCGAAAGGTCAGCAGTTCGAACCCACAGTGGCTCCACAGGAGAAAAGACCTGGTGATCTGTTGCTGTAAAGATTACATACTAGGAAACCCTATGGGGCAGTTCTACTCTGTCCTACAGGGTCGCTACGAGTCGGAATTGACTCGAAGGCAAAGAGCTTGGTTTTTTTTAAGTATCTTATAGCTTCCTAAAGCTATCTTTCCACCACCTGTTTGTTGTATCCTGGTGGCTTGTGTGTTGCTATGATGCTGGAAGCTATGCCACCAGTGGTATTTCCAACACCAGCAAGCTCACTTATGGTGGACAGGCTTCAGCAGAACTTCCAGACTAGGTAGGAAGACCTGGAAATCTACTACCAAAAATTAGCCACTGAAAACCCTATGAATCATAGCAGAACACTGTCAGATAGTGCTGGGTGATGAGTCCCCTAGGTTGGAAGTTAGTCAAAATACACAGTGGCCACAACAATGGACTCAGCATACCAATGATAGGGAAGATGGTGCAAGATGGGGCAACATTTTGTTCTGTTGTATGTTTGGTTGCCATGAGTCAGAGCCAGCTCCACAGCAACTAACAGCAATAACAACAACAAAGCTATCTTTATGTAGACTAAATTTGGACCAGCTAAAGCCTTCACTGAAAAAGGATAAATTTTACTTTTGTTGAATAATCATAAATCCTGAATTGTGTTGTTGTTGTTAGATGCCATCGAGACTCCTAGTGACTCCATGTGACAGAGTAGAACTGCCCCCATAGGGTTTTCTAGGTTGTGATCTTTATGGGAGCAGATCACCAGGTCTTTCTCCCATGGAGCTGCTGGGTAGGCTTGAACCACTAACCTCTCGGTTAGCAGCAGAGTGCTTAACCACTGTGCCATCAGGGCTCCTTCAATCCTGAATTAAGGCAGCTAAATTCTTAGAACTGTAAGCATTAATGCTGATCCATTTAAAAAGTGTCCATAACCTGGCTTGGGCTTTGGACCCAACTTGCCGTATTATGTATTTTCTCTCACTTTTTAAATCAAATTCATTGGCCTACTTCATCCCCTCGAAATCTGCAGTCCTCTGGCTTTCCTCCAAAAGTCTTGCATGGTTTCACAAACCATCCTTGTTTTCAATTCATCCTTCTTTATCCACTGTGTAAACTAGGTGGCCCTGAATGCTCAGGAAAAATCGAAAGCATTTGGTTGTTATTAGCGTTCAGGAGAGCTGACTCACAGATGTAAAACATTAAAGAAACCTTACAAATGTTTGAGAGGTTTTTTCTTTTCAGTTGTTGTTTGGGGCTGTGGGGCATTTAACCACATCCTGCCAAACACGCTTTATTAACAGGTATACTTTTAGGCTAATAAAACAAAGAAGGACAATATTTTTTTATTTTCTTTTCCCAGCATTTTTATTGTTTTTATTTAAATGTAACATACTATACACTGTTCAGCCTTTCGGGAGGTAGGAGGAGGGAGTGATTCTGTATCTTTATGAGCAGTCTCCTCAGAACCAACACTCATATGGACACACGTTTGTGGCTGATGCACCTTAACACCGCGGGCCAAGGCCCACACTTCCCACAGAGGCGGAGCTCACAAAACCTCAATGGATTTTTTTTAAACCTAAAACATTCAGGGCTGGAACTGCTGTTCTTTCAGTAGCAAAGGGGACCAGAATTCCATCTCAAGTTTGAGCAGAGAAGCCATTTTTCAATGCAGGAGAATCTCACTACTCCTTAGCAAATTGTTTCTGTATATCTGTTGATGTGTTTGTGGGAAGAGAGGGGGAAGGGAGGGAAATGTTTTCTATTTTTGGTGACTGCGAGCTTTGATACATTTTGCTAGAAGCTGTTTTAGTGTTTTGAGTACTGTAATGATGACTGTTTACACATAGTCTCTTTGGCAATCTAAATGGCTATGTGAAATAAGAATCCAGTTTGTGTCCTATTTGCTGTTACCATAGTCATCCAATACTGTATTTGTCTCACCAAACATTTAATTTTGGTTGTGGGTGGTCCTGTTCATGTGCTAGGTGCAATTATTATTTTAAAATAAAAGAACAAAGATAGCTAGTTCTGATAGGCGTGCATTGCATTATAACTTTCAGACTTGGTTACCAATTAAATTTTAACATACAGATTCCAACCACAAAAATTAAACATTTTTAGAATCCCATTTGTCAAAAAGCAAGTTGAAAGCCAAGTACCATGAGATGCAACTTTATCCATAAGCCAAAACACTGTGCCCTAAGTGCATTTCTTTTGAAATACCACTTTTTTAAGGATTGAGAAAAATATGACCCTTTATGGGATTATTTTATGGGAACGTTTCTTAATAAAGCTAATTTTTAAATAATAGATTATTTGGAAGTGCCGCTTAAGTATTGATTCAAATAAGTTATAAGAGAATTACAAAACTCCAGCTTTTCTAGAGGTTAAACTTTAGTAAAAAGACACATTTAGTGGGTTTTTCCTTTGTACCAAAATACTGTGTTCAAACAATAAAAATAAACAGACTTTCAAAATAAGAACTATGAAGATAAAACTGCAGCATCAATATAATCTTACAGTTATCACTTAAAGTATTTAGAACAAATAATATTTTACTACTTTTTTTAATCACTACAGACACTGCAAATAAGGCTTATGTATTTATTTAGTGGAATACAATGTGATGATGACTGGTACACTGTTACGTACTGTTTTCTATTTACCTGCTCTAACAAAATGAATCTCGATATGATTACATTATGGAACCTTCCAAAGATCTTTAAATTTACAGAAAATACATTTTATTTGGTTTTGTAAAGGCTAGATCATACAGCTTGAACAGGTTTCAGTATATAGTTACACATATACCAGGATATATTTGCTCAGTTTAAGCCTGTGGGAGAGTTGCACTTTGTACCAAATTCCTCAATAGTTCCTTTGGGGAAGATGCATTATGTGGGACTTACAAAGGGTTTTTATATATGCAGACAGCCTCTTCATAATTTAGTACTGTAATATATGGCAAAACATCATTAGCAAATAATGAGGCTCAGCTACTAGAATGCTTTTAAGAATTAATTTTCCTTCTTTTAGTGTATTTGTGGAGATCCATTGATGTATTGCAAAGAGAAGAATTTGGCCTTCTAGGTCTATTTCTTGGAGAGGAAGCCTCAGAGGTATGTTATGTTTTTAAATGATGGCAGACACATCTCACTCAAGCCATGCGGCAGCACTACCATATTTGTCGTTGACGGGTTTTATTGCAGAAGTGCAAAGTAAGTCAACAGAGAGCACATGAGGCGCTCATACCACTGCTTCCCTAATCTCATCTCTTATTCTGGAAGTGTTTGCTGAGTTTTAAAAACATTTGTCATGAACATGCATGTGGTGTGCTGAAGAAAAAGGAAAGATAAATCAGAGGGCAGCTGCTGAGGAGACTCTTCAAAACCCGAAAGATATTTAACATCCTATTAAATAAATAACTTAGAAAGAAATAGAAAGGGATGAAGGCAGAATGCACAAGCATACCATACTATTTGTTTTGTTAGAACAGTTTTACACTAACATGTTTATATTTCTTAATCCTAGCCAATGCTTCCATGATGACACACCCAAAACTTCTTTGGTTGTGTATATGATGTGACCCAAGTGCTTTCCAGTAAATGCTTGCATGTCTTTCTGCTCATTGAGTCATTAGGCTTGAATGAGCAATGAAAGTCTTTGATATGAGTTCCTATTCCATAAATAACTTCCCCGAAGATCATTCAACTGATTGTCCTGTGTCCTTAAAGTTCTATCTCAGAGGTTAAAAAACAAAAACAAGAACTAAACAAAACCCCAGCCACGATGTTGTGCGCTTGGAAATCACTTCCATCCCATTTGATCTGCCTATATCGCAATTATAAGGCAAGACACTGAACTAATTAAAAGAACATCATATGTCAGCCATGAGTACAAAAACCTTCAAAGGCTTCCTTTCCTGCAGGTGAGCAGACATCTGCCACATGTCTTTGCCTTTTGAGCTACTGTCTTCGTGAAGATTACCAACTATTCCTGACAAAAGAGCCTTTGGTTCTACCGCATCCATAAGCGTTGCCTTCCTCTACGAGTGTACCACCATTGGAAGAAAGTGGGCTGAGGTGTTTTTCCTTCGTGTTCTCTGTCCTCTCCTTGGAGCTCCTTTTCCATTCAGTGCCACATACATTTGCCTCCCGTTGTGCTGCCAGTTAAAGGATGCATAGGTATTGTATCCATTTTCCTCTATCCTCTCCTTCAGCTTACAGTCATTGTTAAATTCTTTCTGCAAAAGAAAAGCATAATCTTTATTCCTCGAGTGATGATACTTGATAGTATCTATTTGACACAAACCATCTAGAAAATGCCAGTTCACAGGTTTTGTTTGCGATTACCTCAAAAGAGATTATGATGGGAACCCCAAAATGGAAACACTTTGTAAAAAGGTCAGTTACTCTTCTAGACTCTTTAGTGGAGCCATGAATAATGGAGAAATTTGACTAAAATTCTTCTGACCCCCAGCCATAAAGCATTCACCCTAAGATGATCAGCCCAAAGTATGCCTGACTCCTTGATTATAAGTGGATCTGCTTTGAGTGAAACACAAGGTTGTTTTAGATCTAGACCAGTGGTTCTCAAATTGTGATCACTTGGACCAGTGGTATCAGCAACGCCTGGAACCTTGTTAGAAATACAAATTCTCTGACTCTACCAGATTTACTGAATCAGGAAATCTGGGTGTGGGTCCCATGAATCTGTGTTTTAATAAGCCCTCCCTGGTGATTCTGATACATATTCAAGTTTGAAAACCACTGTTCTAGAGAGCCAGGGCAATCACCCTTATGCTAACCAACAAAGTATGTCATTTATACATTTAAAAGTGATATTCCTTTTGGCTTCCATGAAAAGCGTAAAAATGCTGCAAGATCTGGTGAGGAAAAAAAAAGATTAAGAGTTCTGCTTCACAGGTTTTAATTCTTGGCCATAGATGTTGTTATATGTCCTCCCAAAAATCTAGTTAAAAAATTTTAAGAACATGTTTATTTATATATGGATTTTATGTACTCTCTTGGAATGGAATCCAGAAAAATTCCTTAAACTTGGCTGGCATTCCCTTGATATCACTCTGGGACTGGTACAACGAAATACATCCATATTAACTTTATAAAAGGATCTATCCCTGACATCATTCAAACTATAATTAAGAGATTAAAGCTTAGTTCTTAACTAACATAGGATTGCCATACTACTTCTGTTCCTTCTCAAATTTAACAATTGTTTTGTAATTATTTCACATTTATTATTTTTTTCCCTAAATATATTGTAAATGAAGCCAAAGCCCATTTCTTTCTTATGCTTCTTTGGTATGTCAAACAGTGTCTTGCACATAGTAGATGTTGATTATAATTGATTGATCTATTTCATTAAAAAATCTGAAGATGATAAATTGTTGTTCTGTTTACAATTTAACTATAATTACAGTTACCATTAATTCTAAAAATAATCATTTGCAGTTTTAAATGAGATCTTTGTCTAAGGAAATTGGTCTAAATAAATTTGCTCCAAAGTTGCAGAAGTATAGTTAAAATACTTAACACCTGCTGCGGGACAGCTAGGACTGATACCCTGGTTAGATTCCAGGCTCCGTAAGAACCCTATTGCAAGGAATGACATTTACACATCCAGATGATGTTCAAGTATAATTTGAATTAATCACTATTGTCAGCACACAAAATGATGAATTTCTTTTCTTCCCCCATTTCAGACTTGAACAGAATAGAAAACACCCGAGCCCCTGTTTTATCTTCAGCTGTAACACACACATTTTATATGGTTTTCTACTCTATTGATGATCTTTGTAATGTTTCTCCTCCAAGTTGTCTGCAGCTCTGCTGCCAATCTGACCAGATGCTTCCGTGAGAGTCTGACTGGTTAGAAGTTCAGAACATTCATTGATGAATGCCAGCAGCAGCCTGTGTGGTAGACTAATGGGTGAACAACAGAGGAGATTATAGAGTTAGAAGAGCTGCTTTGCCAGCCCTCGAAACTCTGGTGACCAGCCCATTGTGGTTCTATTTACTAGCAATACAACGATAACAAGCTATTCAATGTCTGGGGGAAACATTCCAAAACTGTGGTAATGATTTACTGCAGTGTATTTTGAAAACAAAAGCAGCATACTTACTGAGCCATAGAGTTTCCCCTTCTTGTTCATGGCTAAATAATAGTTGCTGTTAATAGCTTTGACGGCAACAACTCCAATTTCCACTGATGTTATCTCCAGGATACCTAAAATACAAAAATGTAAAAGGCTGAATTTGAAAAGCCATATAAATTTAGTTAAAAGGAAAAAAAAAAGAGGAAAGAAACTATTGAGTTTATTTTTTGATGGAGATAAAAACAAAAAAACTAAAAACATTGGAAAAAACTCTTTTAATGTGCCTAAAACACAAGCAAATATATGGAAATAAGTAGCAAGGCTTCAGTAGAATTCCCTTCCATTTTACTCTGAGCATATACAGGAAAATATTGTTTTAATTAAAATGCTTCCTTTGCTAACTCTGCATTTTCAACTCCATAAATATTGAAACAACTCTACTCATCTTAACCTAGATTTCACAAAACCTTATCAGAGCACACATCTGTACCACTGTATTAAATTAAACCTATAGCATATGTCAGTAATATGTCCAATTTACCTCAATCTGCAAAAACAGTGGTAAACTATTTCTTCTTTGTAAGACATTTAGATAAACTAAATCTCTTGGCTACATTTAGCTGATAAATTCATTTTTGGGAAATGTGTTGACATTCAGAGATACGGGAAGACTAATCCCAGTATCTACATTGTCCTTAAAATAGCCGAATCACTACTCTGAGTTGGGGAAAAATCCATCAGCATTATTATTAATATTTTCTTAGAAAGACTGGAAAACTCAGGGAATGAGCAACTGATAGACAAGAGACTTTTTACCTTTATATACAAGCCTTGATTGGTGCATCTAAAAATGATTTTTCTCTGAAAGATTTGTACGTAGCTACAGGGAAGGCCTTCGACATTCTACTCAAAGTGCCCACTCATTTTAGGTTAAGAAGGCCACAGGAACTAAAACTACTCCTTATTTTACAAGCTAGCTCAGAGTACTGAAACAGTGTTGTGGTTATCCTGTGGCCTCTGAAGCCAGAGTATCTGGGTTTGAATACTGGCTCTGCATGTATTGGTGAATGGCCATATGAGAAGTCACGAACTGCCCCATGTCTCAATTTCATTTGTGCAATGGGCAACACAGTAGCACCTTGCTCATAGTGGTATTGAGGATTAAATGAGATAGTACATACAAAATGACTAGAACATGCCGAGAGCTTAGTGCCTCCTTCATTATTACTGAGGGAAGTTTTTCTACGAACAGTTCTAGATCTTGGATGTTGTTGTTGTCAGTTGATAGTGAGTCAGCTCCAACTGTTGGCAACCTTATATATAACAGAACGAAATGCTGCCTGGTCCTGCGCTACCTGCATCATCTTTGATACATTTGAGCTCTTTTTGTGGTTATTGTGTCAAAACGGAACTTATTGAGGTTATATATTTCACACATGAGGTGATAAAGTGACATAGTTCAGTCATGACAGACCCAACACCTAAGTCTCTGACTTCCAGCTTCAGTATTTTGCCTTTCCATCAAATATCCTCCTGCTTTCCCACTCCCACAAGGGAATCCTGTTGGAAACCACTTGACAAAATGACTCATTAATAGTTTTTAACTATTTAATGTGCTATTCCAAGAATGTTGTCATTTCACAGAGGATAATGTCTTAGTGAAGGAAAATCTAATATACTTTATGTGACAAGTAGATGATGAAGAGCAGGGCAAGAGGTAAAAATCTGGGGCAAAATATTTAGGCTGCTGTTTACTTTGCCCGCCAAAGAAGCAAGTAAGCAATGCTAATAATTTGCAAGATGTCCCATATTGTATGCTTTTATAACTGGAAATTTCGAGAATGAAGAGGAATGAAGGATAATTTTAGCAAAGAATAAACCAAGTCTTTTTTTTTTTTCCTGAAAGTCTACTCTTTATTTTGGTATAAAAAATAAACTCTCCAACCTGTAAAGAGCATCACTTTTTTTCAAAGTGAGCAAAGTCACAGAATAGAAACACCTGCTACCAGCTCTGAAGATATCGCACATGCTTTGGAAAGAAAGTCATTGCTATTTGGACTCAGTGGAGGAGGGAGTAACTAATTACTGCCTTCTCCTGATTTTCCATAATTTTACTACATCATCACTGGGGAAAGCTAGTGGTTGGGATGTCACGTGTAAACCAAGTGTTTTGATGGTGAACACGAAGTAGGAGGATTAAGTTATAGTAACAGACTGATCTGACAAAAAGAAAATGTAACAGAAATATTACCAAATCCTTGGCTGATTAGTTCTGAGAGTGCTCTTCACATGAGAGATCATATTTAGCTTGGATACCCCTGAGTTTCTTTCTGCTTTGCCTCAAAAAACAACTCAATATTCAAATAATCAATTAATCTATTAACTATTTCCCCCACTCCTCAACCTGTTAAGGCTAGGCTGAAAAGGTTTATTACTAGTTTAAAACAGAAAGAAGTAAGACCTAGATGATTTAATAGGGTCCTTTCGCATTCTGAGGAGCCCTGGTGGTGCAGTGGTTAAGAGCTTGGCTGCTAACCAAAAGGTCAGCAGTTCCAATCCACCAGCTCCTCCTTGGAAACCCTATGGGGCAGTTCTAGTCTGTCCTATAGGGCCTCTGTGAATCGGAATAGACTTAACTGTAATCAGTTTTTTCCGCATTCTGAAAATAAATTATTTGGATGTTCCATATGTCAGTAAGTTACAATTTGATAATCTTATGGGTAATGGACAATGACTGCATTTATTATAAACATCTGTGAGTGTGAGAGTGGCTTTTTGAGAGACTAAAATCTGGAAGATGTCTGTATTTTTCATAAAAGATCTCTCCGCACACAATATAGGGGAAGTCAGCACAACTTGACTAAGGCAAAGACATAGAAGCTTCCTAGACACATCCAAATACCTTGAGGGACTGAGTTACCATGGTCTCAGGGGACATCTAGGTCAATTGGCATAACAGTTCATAAAGAATATGCTCTACATCCTACTTTTGGTGAGTAACATTTGGGGTCTTAAAAGCTTGCAAGAGACCTTCTAAGATACATCTATTGGTCCCTTCCAGTCCGGGGCAAAGGAAAATGAAGAAAACCAAAGACACAAGGAAAATATTAGTCCAAAGGACTAATGGACCACATAAACCACAGGCTCCACCAGCCTGAGCCCAGAAGAACGAGACGGTGCCTGGCTACCACCACCAATCGCTCTGACAGGGATCACAATAGAGGGTCCCAGACAGAACTGGAGAAAAATGTAGAACAAAACTCAAATTCACAAAAAAATTTAAACAAAGACCAGACTTACTTTTCTGAAAGGGACTGGAGGAACCCCCGAGACTATGGTCCCCAGACACCCTGCTAACTCAGAACTGAAGCCACTCCCAAAGTCCACCTTTCAGCCAAAGATTAGACAGGCCTCTAAAACAGTAGCACACATGAGGAA